ACTTTTGAAAAAAGTGAGAACTTTTCACAGAGCGGACATGAGGTGTGGTAATTTGCCACTACTTGCACTTCGGAGTTCTACACCGGCGATGTAAATACATAAAAATAACTTCAAACATTTTTTTCCTCTCTTCAATAAACCTGTGCGTCATCTGCTTACCGAAAAACCACCTCCTCGGGTCATGTTTTGCAAATTCTATGGAATTGTGATAGAACAATCCAGGTCTAATATGAACTTGCTGCCAATGATGGGTAATTAATCTAATTTCACCGTATTTGTCTCTCCACATCCTCAGACCAACTCATAAAACTTCCTCGGTTCGCTTATTCATCTGTATTTTTTATTGCAAATATTTATATTTGCCTTTCGCGTTCGGGATGACCATGAGCTCAACATGCCATATCTTCGAACGACGTTTATATCACTTGTTAAACTCAATTTGAATATTCATATCCGCTCTCCGGCCAGCCGTGACGAGTTTCACTTTGTGACTCACGTCATAAACAAAACAAAATACTTGGCCACGTTATACACGACTTTCATTATGGCGGTCAGCGCGAGCTTCCTGGATCGAATTGCATGAAAACGAGGTTAGAAAGGCTATACTATTGCGTTGCGTCCCTCTTCGTTTGCAGTGGCGAGTATTTCGAACATTTCAAATCCGACATTTCTTACGGAAAACGATATACCTGGCGCTTCTCTTCTTGGAACAAAAACCTGACCAGTTAAAAATCTCAGAGCTTAAATTTTGGCATAAATATCGTGGAGACGTGGGAATAAGGTTGAAGACAAAAGCAGAGCTGGTGAAGCGAGTGCATGACTACATAAGACCCTGGTTTCTGGGGCGAGCAAGGGCAGAAACTGCTTCTTATTACTTTGAACAATTTATTAAGTTTGCTTGTGCCAAGCTTTTCAATTGAAATTGTCTGGCAGATAACAACAGTGACTTTGAAGTCTTGTAAATTTACTTGTTGACTGGGAATTAATACCTAACATGAGTAAATTCTTACGTTGTAGTTTTAATTTGTTGTGGGTTGAAATTTTTCCAACCAGTTTGATTTTTAATGTCCTTTGTTTCAAAGTGTGCTAAAGAATACAAAGGAAAATTAAAAACCAAACTGGTTTAAACATTTTGCACCAAAGATAATTTAAACACGACATAGACAACATGATCTTTACAGATACAAAAGATGTCGCTCAATTATGATGTAAACCTTACGATAAATAGTCAGAACAGAGGAGAAAATGTTGCCTTTATCTTAATGCCCAATTTGTAGCCCCTTACAATCTAGGGAGAGAAGAGATTTGTAGGTAGATTATGGGTTAAGTAAATTCATTCATGCCTCACATGAATATGATATTCACATTGATATTATGTTAGGTTGTGCATTACAACAGAATGCACACACTGCCCATATCTGGTTTACAATTCCCATTTGATGTAAACCAAGAAAGGTTTTGTTGTCGATAAATCGGATTAGCTGCCTATGCCGTGAGATATACTTCTTAGAAAACTTAGATGAATAAAATTAACTCGATAAAAACTCATGCAATATCACCAGTTAGCACCAAACAGTCGCTGAGTGCATTCCTACCCCTCTCTCTGACCAAAATAGATCGTTCAATTTCCAGTTATAACGTATACTGAATAACTACTTTAAAAGAGGAATGTGGATTGATTCTCTATTCTTTAGAAGCACAAGTTTTTGTACTGACCCCAGTCAGTCCGATTCAAGCTCAAGATGGCGATAACATTACACTAAATTGGGACTATCATTCTGGCTTTCACACAGTGGGTCTTGCTCAGTGGGGGACTATGACCTCGGAGGGTACCTTGGAAACCATCATTTATTTATCATCGAATTACATACATAATTAAGGCCGCGTGTATGTGACGAGCAAAGCCTCTCTTTCTTTTATTGACGTTAAAGTGGATGACACCGGGCGATATGGTAGTAAGTTGACGTTTGGAGACGCAACAATTTCAAATTCCACAATACTTGAAGTATCAGGTAGACGACTGTTTTTCTCATTAAGCTAAGCTAAGTTCATGCCGATAAGAAACCGGGCTGAACGAGGCAGATTAATTACTCAGGGTGTTGCATCATCCCCGTCCTCGCTTTTCGTCGAGGCACTGTTACAAAATACTTCAAGTAGTCTACATCTGCATCTGTTGAGCGTGATTAGTGTTATTGGTATCGTATTGTCGTCTATACTCGTGTGCATGGTATCCACATGACACGCTAATAAAGCGTGCATTTACAGATTTTGGTCCACTGAGTAATTTCGCTCGTTTATGAATGAGGTCGTTTTTTTCTCTCAATTCATCTCCCTCTATGGAAAATAGCACTTTGCTCAAACTTGATTTGTCATTCGGAACAAAGTTCTTCGTTGAAGTTTTCTAACTTCCGACTTGGCCAATTGTGGCTTATGCATGATTAACTGAAGGCTAAGAAACATTTAAAAGAAGGAAAAACTAATATAGTTAGATTATGCTTTTTTTCCCTTTAACAATTTTCTCCTCATATGATAGAGCGCTGGTAGAAATTGTAACATGCATGTGTTCTCTCAACATGAACGTCATCTCCTAGGTATATCGATCACAACTAATCCATGCTTTGTCGGTCTGTTCATCTCTTAAGCGAGACCCATTACAGACGTATCCCCCACAGCTGATGGTACTGCTGATGACAACACGATTAATACGCATCCAGTATATCTGGCCTTTGTTGCCATGGTCCTGATCCTAATTATAATAGTTGTTGTCTACTTTTTCCTCACGCGTTAAAAAAGAGGTGAGCTCGTACACCTTCCCTCGTAAAAACCATTAAAACCGTTTGGCTAAAGTAGGTCAGTGGTTTGGATTTTGGATTTGGACGAAAAGGGTGTGTGGGGGCTTAAAATCATTGATAAAACTGTTTCCCATTTGTTTCATGGGGGTTTGATTCTGTCCCCACCCTATTCGATATATATGCGATGCAACATATATCTTAAGACTGACAAATGATGACTTACAAGGAAAAGGTTAATGATTTAAATGAACTGACAATCTTTATGTTATTGTTGTTTCTCAACAGTGGCTCTTACCAATAGGAAGTAAGTATTACGCCTGTGTCGGTTTTCTCACCGTCGGTAGTGTCCCATCTTCCATTCGCAAGTTTGCCGACAATTTTAATTTGGTGACCTCTGTCTTAAACTGTCATTCATAACATGATAGGCTTGTATACTTCTCCTGATATTCAGCACGCCTTTTGTCACTCTAATTCAGTATTTACAATCCTATTTTAGTCACATTTCTGTTCCGTTTCAACCACTCTGATTGACTTGATAGACTATGTTGTTAGCAGGAATACGATGACAAGTATGTTGTTATCTCTTTTCTTCTCTTCTAGCAAAAATGAAAGAGCTAGAGTGGATACGAATATGATTAAAATGGTAAGAATAGGATAAGATTTATCTTTTTTTTCGGGAGGATGTCCCCTAAGAAAGTTCACAGGATGATATCAAGCACGTTCCTCTAAACAATTTTCATTGCAAATTATACTTGTATTTGAATTAATGGAAAGACTTTCGTTTTTCTCGCCACGAAAATAGATGGTGTCGAAGGGCCTTGGTTTTCAAGGGGAACGGGGGGATGGGGAGAGGGACAGTTATCTCTTATAGAGTTTTTTGCCGGTAGTAGGACTATGTTTCATTTACTGCCAATCAGGGGGAATCATTGGCATACGAAAGAGCCTTATTGAGGCAGTGGCTAAGTTTTATTACAACGAGCCAAAATCCTCCGTCCTCACCCCCCCCCCCCCCCACACCTCTTCTCAAGCTATGAACGATGACAAGACTAATTCTTGGTGTGTTGTACTTTCTCTGTACAAAACCCACTGTCTCAAAATTACATGTACGCAAATGTAGACGCCGACGCAGGACGCAACTTCTGATCCAATTAGTTCCTCTGACGAGGTGATCCGCTAAGAGTACTCAGTGATTCCTCCTATACTTCCCTACCCGACCGAAAAGGACTGGGAATTACCTAGAGAGAAGCTCGTGTTTGTGAAGGTGATTGGCAGGGGAACTTTTGGTAAAGTAGCTCGAGGAATGGCAAAGAGAATAAATGACAACAACACAGGACGAAATTGCAAGAATCCGTAAACGGAAACGTGGCAGAAACATGTTAAACCGTTCCGGAAACACGACGGATAACCTGTGTTTCCGTTACCGGTTTCGTGACGTTTTCACGCGTTTCCGTTGCTGCGTATACAACGGAACCGGACCCCTTTTTGTGCATGTTTCCGTCAAGTTTCAGCTAAAGGAAACAAATGTTTCCGCAATCGTAATTTCGGGTTTACATTTGCGGAAACACAAGAAAACGTTGCGGAAACATGTCTTTTCCATGTTTCCGTTGACGTATTCCGGGCTACTGAATGGGTGATGGAACCTGCGGAAACACAAGAAACCGTTCCGGAAACTGAGGTCTGTTTCATGTTTCCGCTACAGCTTACGTCTCGGAAACGTGTTAATTCAAATTTATCTTACCCTTGCGGGAACTTTCTAGCTTTGGTAAACCTTTTTTTCCCTCTTTATTTCCGAAACGCACCCATATAATGTTCATGGTAGGTGGAAAGTCTTATTAATTAATTTACAGAATACCTCTTATGGCGTTTTCCCCTTCAGTCAAAGAAATACTACAGCTATATTTTGCCAAAGCGTCATTTATTTTTCTTCCATAAGATAAGGTTGTAGTTAAATAGAGCTTCAATTCATTACAGAGCCTACTATTCGTGAAATACTTGTAGTATATACATCTACTTTGGTCTCTATGTCAGACTGGGAAAGAAAACTTTTCACCATTTAACAAATCGCATTCCAAATTACTTTTGAACAAATGTTACAATGGCTGTTCTGAGCACTATAAATGAAAACAGGCATAAAGTTTGCCAAGAACAATGAACGTCTTTATAGTGTTTTCTAAAATAATGTCTATTCTTAGGAACCTCTCAGTCCAATTATTCGGTACGAATTGCCCAACGAGGGCCATTGGTGGGGCAAGGCCGTACAGACGGCTCTTCGGTTCTGGTCAAACGTGCACTTGCACGACGCTGCTTTTCGCTAAGTCCTTCCAAATAGGCCTCATCCAGTTTTGCTTTCAAATTCTTCAGTTTGCTTTTCTCCCACACCAGTTTACGTACTTTCCTTGGTTTCGGACCCCTAGATGAAGCAGGATCATCGTTGTCGCTTTCTTCCGATGACATGAAGTCGATAGCATTTGGCGAACAGAAAATTTCTCTTGCCTTTTCTTTGTCGTTGTCCGACAAGATAGCCTTCTCTAAGCTTGAAAGGCGTCTTGATAGTTTCTAAACGATATAAACAGAGAACAAAAGTGTCAAAAAATGCGCAAGGAGCATTTTGGCTATCACCAATGACACCTTGCTGTTACAAGATATACATGTACTTCCCTCTGGTAAAGATTACACTTTTCTTTTTCAACTTAAATTGAGAGTTTTATACAAAACAAAGTGTATATATAAAAATTGATAAGTTTCTTTGACAAAGCAACACAATTAATTAAATGACATGTTATCAAGGACAAAATATGTATTTATCGTGTTAAACCATAGAAAAGAGCTCGAATACAGGGATTCATTTATTAGAAATAGCTGTAACGCGATGTTGCATAGCTAGGATCAAGCTCAACATTCCTGAACATTTGCTTATATGGTTCTCAATCTGATACTTACTCTCTTTAATCGATTTTGTTGCTTCATTTGACTTCGATGTTCTTCAAACTTTTTATTTGTTTTTCTTGTTCTGTCATCCCGAAGAGATTTCCAGTATTGATGAACCGCGCCTAAAAATGAAGCAGTGCTGTTCATTACTGTCACGTTTCATCAAAAAAATAACTAAGAGCATGACCGTTTCATTTAACTAGCACAGAACGACAAAAGTTTAAACAGCAGCAAGCACGCGCTTGCAGTTCTGAAGGCGTTCTCTATCTTTACTGGTAAAATACGTATTTCATTTAAGTAGCTATACAGTTAGTTTCTATGGGATGATCCGGATCAAGATTGGTGATCCGAGACCATTAGGATCACTGTGCATCAAAGGAACTGGTGAATCCTTGTTCAGAGTGGATTTGACCATGATCCGAGTAATCTCGGATCATCCCAAATAAACGCACTCAAGTCAGTTTACTGCGCTAATATACGCTAACCCTAAACGTAGAGTAGTATTGCAAAAAGCGAAAAAAAGGAAACCAACGGGTATTACTTGCTTGTGCTAAAAAACCAACTTACTCTTAATGACAGCCTTTGTCCACTTGTCCTTGCCGTACACTGAGCGGACTTCTTTTAGCACTCTCCTAGCCATAGTCTTATTTTCTGGGCTATTAAAACTGAAAAAGGTATAAGATATCGATTTAAGAATTTTACTCAGCCAAATTAAAGGTGTGAGAGCAAAACTAAATAGAAGCGATCACATACTGTATAGCCAATCATAACGGCAGGTAATTTAGTGCAACAATCAAAAAGCCAATGAGATAAGTTTTCGAATTATTTATCCGATTGTTGTTTGTTTTGCTTTAGACCATGGCGAGCCTATTGTTTCCCTGTCGAGAAATTTTGTTTATTTTATAATAACCCAAGGAAAGAGAGCACACTCGTAATGTCCTTGCTTAATTGCATGCATGCACTACCTACACTATGTGTTGCCCACAAGTATAAAATTCACTTAGTTATTTTTACGTTGCAAGCTAGCATGGCCTAAGATCTTGTTTAACAATAACTAAAAGCTCCTCCATCGTCGCCACACAACAGGTCAACTCTTTTTGAAGTCGAGAAAAAAAGCGAATAGCTATTGTAGCCGGCCTACTACACCTCAGCTGTAACTATACATTAGCTCCGGTTTGTTTTACCTGACGCTCAAATCAAAGTTAAGCTGATTCTCCTGATCTTCTTCTTGTCCTTCACCCTTTGTTAGTTCCTTGCACACTTTCCTGGCAGCATTCTTGTATTTTGTAAAATAAATAAAAAAAAAAACAATGTCAAAACAAACTAAAAAAAACAGCAAGTTGATTATTAGCTGGAAGTTCATAAAAGCAAAATTAATTTAAAAATGCCATAGCGAATTGGGACTTTTAAAAGCTGTCGCTTTTAACGTAACTTCCTCCTCGGATCCGAGCAAAGTGATCTAAGTGACTTTGCTCTGTGGAAGCAGCTCAATACTTCAGCTTTTAAAAGTTAGTTTACTTGCTTAATATAAAATAGAGCAAACGTACGTACGTCTCGCGCCTTCGGAAAAAGTTGAAAGCCGCGATAGCGATAATGGAAATGTTCTAAAGAAACTTCGGCTGTTGGGGCGAGTTGGCCTGCAGTTGATTGAAATTATGTCTGGATTACAAATTTTACCCGGCGAGTAAAGGAAAACATAACAATGAAACAACGATAATAAACGGAATAAATCACTTTAAAATTTCCCGCGCACCGCCATCTTGGATTATATGACGTCACTGCATTTTCTAGCAATAAGATTGGCGTCCGTTTCTTCTTCCTTTCATTTTGTTGTATTCCCTTTGTCGAGTAAAATTTGTAATTTAGGAATTTTGTAAAATATTTCGCGCAACTCGTCGTCAGCTCGCCTCAACTGCCGAGGTTCCCATTAAAATAAAATAGAGTAAATTTATGGTCTGCGGAAAACGTTCAATGTGGTCAATATGTGGATAAACTTTTTCCGCAGACGTAAGCCGTCCAAATATTCGCTGTAGTTTACGGCCCCCGCACACTAGTCGATATTTTGCCGAAGAAAAATAGATTTTTATCGGTGTCAAATTTTTCAGCTCATCAGCTTGCCGCACACTAGCTGATTTTTCGTCGGCCTACTTGCTGGGAATTCAAACAAGTCTGCAACAAGATCGGGCATTGTTACCTGGCTGTGCTAGTTTGGAAAATGTCTTGTCGGGCCTAGTTGTTGGCTACTGTGCGGTGGATTAAGACAACTTGTTGCACACTAGCCGACAATCGGCTATTTATTTTACACATGTAAAGCCAGCCAATTTCATGTCCGTGAACGTAGCTTACATAACCCGTCGGTACGAGGTGAATGAGTCTGGATTTTCACTGTCACATAGTTTTAAGTACATTAATGCGTGTAACATGGCTTTACGTGCGTAAAGTAAAATAAAGCAAACGCATCGACGACATGAATGTGGATCAACTTTTTTCCGCCTCACCGCGCGCGACGGTGTTCGCTGTTCGCTCGCGCGTGTCGCCAACAAGAGGGGCAATTTGGCAAACGTTTACAACACTGTCACTCTGAGTCTCTTCGATCAGCCGCACTTTGTTAACCAAATTTTTGACTGTTTCTTGGACGAATTTTTAAAATGATTGATTTGCTTTTAACGATAAGATTTCAGCTAACCAATGAAGGAATTATTAAGCTTACCGTTAGCTTACATAACACAAACTTCACACCTATTTTCAACACATGGTAAACCGTCTTGTGATTCCTTACGCTCATATTTGACCGTAACTTCGAAGCTGCTTAGCCAGAAAGAAGACAAAATTACTTACCGAACACTCAGGATCTTTGTCTTTGGACTTCTCAAAGAGTTGCCTTCTCGTTTTTGTCGTAAGATTCGTTACTTGACTTTTCAGTTGCTGATTTTCTTTGCGGATCACCGAAACTTCGGCCAGCAATCGCCTCAAGAGATCTCGATCTTCCAGGGCAGCTCTCGGGGTTTCTTCACTAAGCACTGTCCTGTCTTCCATTTCTGCGTTGGCTGATTCCATGGTTTTGCTGAGTTGGAGTAAAACTGAGAAAAAATTGGAAACACACAGTAGAACGACGACTGGAAATCACGCGCAACTTGACAAATGCCCAGACAATGCAAATTTCCCGCCTCATCTCCAGTTTGACGCAGTCATCAGACAATTGTCGTCAATGGCAACAAACCCGTTTGCTGAGCCCGCAGCGGCATGCGTCGCCGAAAAGAGATAGATTTACGAGAATTCACACGTTTGAGGAGAGAGTTTTCGTCAAGTTTTTGGTTATTTATATTGGTATATTAGGTTATAGAACACAGGAGTATCGCAAAGAATGAAAAGAAAAGGTTTACACGGCGAAACAAGTGGTAAAAAGAGGCGATCAAGGTGTAGACAACGATGTCCTCACTGTCAGCAGTTACTTAGCAATTCACAGTACCACGAGCATCGTAAACGGTACTTCAATCCAGTACTCAAAGAATGGAAAACCGTGGCCGATCTAACGATAGTTGAAGCATCTATGCCTATACCAGATGTCCCTGGATCAAGCTCAAGTGACTATCAAAATGTTAAAAGGTTTGTTTAGGTTTGTCAGATAGCATGAGTGTGTAGACTTAGAAATTCTTCCATCGAGCTAATTCACGGTGACCGATATGACAAAATCTGCTGAGCTTCAGGCTTTTATAAGACAAAAGGATGGTTATAAAGTTTGTAAAAATTTCCTGGTGTATTTGTGTTGTTCTATCTTGAAACGAACTCAAAGTCCGGCAAAACTTACTTGATAGCGACTATGAAATATACATGGTTCGCCTACTTGTCGCCGCCGTTAACTGGCATAAATCACTACAGTTTGCAAAAAAACCTAACATAACACTCTTACCTTGTTTATTTATTAAGGCCCAGGTCGCACTACTGCCCAAACCAAAAATTAGGCAGCCAAAAAATTTTCGAAAAGTTGAAACCGCAACCGGAAGAGCCGACAAATGTGACACAATTTTTGAGTCGCACTACCGAAATACACAAATATGTCAAAATAAACACAATTGATCAGATTTCATTTCTGGCGCGTATTGTGCGGTAATAAACATAAACCCTAATCGGGCATTTTGGTTTGCTTTTGCCCTTCTACTTCTACAAATTATCGACATGCAAATGTTTCCCTTTTCATCCTGTATCAGAGATATACGTAGAATTCGTGTTGCGCCTTACACATGGACCGTTTCTCGCCCAGCCGAATTATGGTTTGGTATTCATTACTTGAGCCCTTTGCTCTTCTTGCGGCCATTTGTCGTATTGTTTTTTTTTTCTTTTTGTGCCAAACCTTCAGCTGACCTGAAGCTCCCTTACCACACTTGCTGGACTATCGGACTGATTAAGCAAAATTCCGCTTAGTCCCGCTTGATCTAAGCTCGGTCCAGCCAATGTATGGTCGAAATGACGAACATTTTGGCTTGGGAATCCCGGCTCATAATAAAAAGGAAAACGTCCATCCATGCTAAAAGTTGGCAGGTGAATATCAAAAATTCCCGCCGATTGAATAGTTTAACTGCAGGTCATATGACTAGCGTTGACAGTTCCGGAAGCGGTGTCTTTTGTTTTTTTTTATTTTTTCAAAATCTGCCTGCCCCACCCATACACTTCAGTGTCTTTGAAGTTTCTGTGGACTTTCCGAAATTTTAGAAATTTGTGAAACACCGGTCGCATAAGGAAACTCGCTGTGATAATAGACATTAATCCTTTTTTGACGGATTATTGATCAAAACTTCCCTAGTGCGACTTGGGCCTTAGCTAACTGATCTGTTTTATAAGCGTCTCATCTTACATGCAAACATTTGCTGTTTAGTTAAATCGTTAGCTGGTGGAACTTGTGGGTTTAGTTATCGAGAAGACCAAGTCGTTCCCTTGCGTGATTGTTAAAAAGACATTTCAAGTCACATGCGGAGTTGCAAGTCTTCAGATCAAGAAAATGCCGTTGTCAGAGCGGATTTGGACCCCCCTAGATTCGGATTAGTTGCGTTCTTCATGAGGCAGTAGGTAGTCCATCCCGTATAAACGATGTAAAGAAACGGACAACAGTTTCTTGGCGTACATTTATTAGGCCTCAACTAATGAAGGCTAATTCTCTAAGATTAAAATGTTAAAAAAACCTCAAAAGAAATAAAATTCAAAATGCTTTCGTCTAACCTGATGGCATTGTCGTAGGAGGTGCTGGAGCTGTTGTGGGGGTTGGAGGTGGAGTTCTATTTTCCAAAGTTTTAACTCTCTCCAACAGCTCTTCAATCACGGAGCAAGCTACCAAAGGACGGGAAAAACTTTTAAAATCGTTAAAGAGTTAATATACGAAATTTTCTTCTTCAACGTTACCCAAATAGCTTAAAAGTGCACAGAGAACATTACATGACCGCCCATGGATACAATTTTTTATCTACTAGTGTGGATACTATCTTTCACGAGTGAGCTTCTCTCACGGGGGACGCGTAAAGATAGACTCGAATCTAAAAGGAAGACATATACTGTTCTGTTTATTATAAAAATATAATTTTCATCAAAATCAAAGACAAATTTAAAGCACATATTAAGAGCAAAGAACGCATATAATGTATGCATGTAGACACATATCATCCAATAATAATAGTCCAATTATCTAATACATATAAAGCATGCTACGTAAACTGGTTATAAGTAATTCATACAAATCTCAAACAGCTCTGGTATCCCGACAAACTGTCCAGGTACTTTGCTTTCGTTTCAGTAAGATTATTCAAGAATAAATATATATTTTTAGACGTATTTGTGTGAAGTATCGCTGAGTAATTTCACGAGTTGTGCTTTTTTTTAACTATTCCGCAAGGCGAGTCAAAATACAAAAAACGACTAAAATACTCAGTGATACTGCGCACCAAAACGTCTCATAAGACATTTATTATCCAACTGCTTTAATTTTTATGCAATTCTCATAAGGTGGGAAAAGCGAAACAAACAAAGGAGCGGTTTGTGACAGGTCTTGCCTAATGCTCGCGTCGGATTGGCCCATGAGACGTCAACTTGTCACAGAGGGTTTCAAAACGATTCAAAGTTGAATTTTATTTTCGATCGTCGTTCTCAACTCTTGCACATTTGAAAGTACTGCAAGAAGAAAAGCGTTCGTTTATCGATGAAAAGTGATGAATAATTTACCACAAGTAACAAAGCTCTGAATCTACCAGGAGACAAACTCTCAAAGACATGTATGAGCTCTAAGCCTACAAAAAG